ATTTGTCTAGGTTGCAATCCCAGTTAATCTCAATGCCAATGATGCCTCCCTGGGAGAAGATCGTCAGAGAAGTAAATTTGCAAGATGGATTGACCAAGAGAGAGAGAGAAAGAGAGAACTTTTAGCAAGCATTCCTTATTTTCCCCATTTTACAGGCTTTCTGCATGTGAACAAATTGCATTTGCTGCAGCAGCTTGGCCACTTTCTCTTGTCAATTTCTCAGAAAAAAGGAAGAAAACTTTAAATTTGGTTTGAATTCTCCTTTTCGCAATCCAATTCAACATATGCCCTTATTAACTCAGTCGCCCAACTAACAGCAGCAAAATAAATAAATTTAAAAAAATTCAACAAGTCCTCTGGCCACTTTCAAAATGCCACCTACCTGAACGGCCACCTCTGAAAACTTCTCTCCTGCCTCTTGAAGAATGTCCCTCAGACGGAAAATGGGGCAAAGTGGGGCTTTGTGCTTGTTGTATGTACAGGAAACATTAAATTTCGGTGGAATATTTGTTCTGCAGGGAACAATTAGAACAATCAGTGGAAGGACCTGCCTTCAGAAGTTGTGAGTGCTCTAACACTGGGTGTTTTAAAGAAAAGATTGGACAGTCCTTTGTCCAAAATGGTAGAGGTTCTTCTGCTTGAGAAGCGGGTTGGACTAGAAGACCTCTAAGGTCCCTTTCAATTCTGCTATTCTGTTGTATTATTCTGAAAAGGAGCAGTTTTTTCACCCTAAAGAAACAAATGTATATTTTATAAAGCACAGGATGTCGGAAGACCAAGCATAGAGGCTCTTTCAGGAATTTAATGGTTAACACTGATTTCTATTTTGTTGCATGTCCGCCCATGCAAACACAGATTCTAGAAGCTCCAGCACATCTTAGCAAAGATCAGGGATCAATTTCCCAGGAAGAGAATACGAGAGACCCTCCCTTTGAATACAGCCATCCCAAGCCAAGCCCACTTACGTTGTATAATCGAATTTTGGGAAGTGGATGTTGTTTTTTATAAGCACGGTGAAATTCTCAGCACTGTCCAGAATGGCTGGCCTGGAAGGATGAAAAGATCCAAGTCGTTTCTGACTGATTAAATAGTCACGATCACCACTAGGCAACGTAATCATGTTAGCTGGGGAGCCTGGTCAAGAGGCTGGACATTGGGGTCTGCAAAATGCATGTCAGAGACCCGATTGGTTCAAGGATGTCTTCAAGGATGGCCCTCAAAAATGCCCTGCAGTTATTTATTAAGGCAGGGCTATTCAACCTTGAGAACTTTGTGGACTTCAACCCCCAGAATTGTAAGACTTGTGGACTTCAACCCCCAGAATCCTAAGGCTGTGGACTTCAATTCCCAGAATCCTAAGGCTTGTGGACTTCAACCCCCAGAATCCTAAGGCTTGTGGACTTCAACCCCCAGAATCCTAAGGCTTGTGGACTTCAACTCTCAGAATTCTAAGACTCGTAAACTTCAACTCTCAGAACTTTCAGTCTTATGGACGTCAACTCCCAGAATTTCCCCCGCCAGCCATGCTCTCTTGGAGTTCCCAAAGTCAGACACCCCTGTACATTAAGGCAACTAAACAGGGAAGGAGACGTCTTGGATCAAAATTCAGAACAGACTAAAACAGGATACAGGAGCAGCTGAGAAAAACACCTACGTTGGAGCGGCTTTAGATGACTCTACAGGACACCAAGCGGAGACTTCACATGTGTTGATGGTTCTGTTATATTTCACACACTTGCCCGTCTGGATGCCTACCGAGGTAAGAGACCCCCATCTCATCAAGGACCCTTACCTGGAGGCCAAACATTTCGTCGGAAAGGAATTTCCAACGGCGAGGGCGAAAAGGAACCTCGCTTACCGTTACCCTGTGGGTCCACTCGACCTTTCGTGCAGCTTTTGTCGGTTGTACACACTGCTTTGGCAAAAGGAAACTGAAAGCATAAAACAGGGAAAAATACATCTAGCACAAGATTCCATTTCAGTCTTCCAAATTTACAACCTCAACTTTTAGGCTTATCAGTTTCTCTCTCTCTCCTAACAAGTTGCATCCAGATAATATTTTCCTATTATCCCTCTTTAAACAGGTACAAACTGACATAGCCCAGAGCCTATTTGCCAATTTTCCAGTCGATGGGAAGGGAATAAATCAAAAATATCTTGCCAAGAAGAACGTTGGACTAGTCACGACTTGGTTCCCACTGTTTAAAAACCAGGGAAGTGGGTGGGACACACAAACTAGTACATTATTATATCCCTAGAAATGATTTAAAATCAAATATAAACACATTTGCCAAAAATAAATTGCTACCTTTCGCCTATTTCACTAAATATTAAGGTCAGGTATGAAATGTTGACTTTGGGTTTCGCTGATTGGACAAATTTGTTGCTATAGAAATGGTTTAGTACCAATTAGTATGTAATAATAAAAAGTTTGCCTTAAAAGCAAAAAAAGTTTGCCTTCATTCCTAAAAAGTTACGTTTGTAATGCCATGTTACCATCTGCGCTAAAAAGACCTAGAAGTCACGTTTTCTTTCTTTTTTCCCCTTTTTTCTAGATTACACTTCTTCCTTTTCCCTTTTATCTCTCCTGTTTTTACCACTTTTTAAATTTGTTTTGCATTTAAGCTCTTGGTAAACTTAATACAATCATTATTATTTTTTATTTGTTTAAAACATAGAGCAGGTATGAAACGCTGATACCTCGGGGCAAAGTCCTTGAGTCTGATTTTCGGTCGTAATGATGTTAGTCAGCACAAAAAAGGAATTCACACCCTAAACGAGCGAAAAGAGAAAGGAAAAAGCGAATTTTAAGTTGGTCTGCTGAAAAACAAATCCATTGCAACGACTTTTTAAGATCTTCTGTGGATTCCTTCGAAAAGAAGCCCAGGAGGACGAGAATGCCAGGTGATGAAGAGGGTTGAGGGCTATCTTTTTTCTCCCTACAATTTAGGGGAAGAGAAAGAGGGGTGCCCTCCAAGAATTCTAGGAGAAATTTGGGGTCAAGGTTATGGTAATACAACTCTCAGGCTCAACTCTTCGCTTCACTGCTTCTCCTGATAGTTTTCTCCTCTGGCTCTCCGAAAAAGGACTCTTATAATAATAATACTTTATTTGCGGTCACAGACTGAGACACAAGTACAACAAAAGAAGAACATTGGAAAATTAATCATGAACAATTGGTCACCTGCCCAGGGATGGTATATTCGGCTGTATCCCAAACTCTGTTCTCAGTCTGGGACACCCCCTTCACCTTCACATGCATTGAGCTGATGACCGAATCTTTCTTCTGGTAGCGTCGATCAGCCAACAGGACGATGCTGAAGAAACACAGCGGAAAATATTTGAGTGGGAAGGTTTCTTTTGTGCCCATGTCACAGAGGGGATAAACTGAGGTTTACAAAAATCTCGATTTTCCGTTCAAAGTGGAACAGATCTTGCTTCAGCAAAACATTTTAAGCAAGCTGAGAGAGCACCAGGGACCCCGCAGTGATTGTCCTCCTCTTCCTCCTCCTTTTCACAAAACCCACTCCCTTCTAGCACTGATGATGTTCCCTAGTTGGGTCGTGAAACGTCTGCAAGAAAAGCACCCGGCTCAGAGAGCACCAAGGACCCCACAGTTCAACCCCGAGCTACAAATCTTCTCTTCTATTGCTAATGTAAACAAGATTCCGAGATTTGTGGATTGTTATGCATTCATTTGGCCTGAACTAAAAGCCAGAGGCTGGGTCTTTCAGAGTGACTGGTTACATCCGCGTGGGTGGAAAGTTCACCAACCGAAGTCACAAAGCTGGACATTGTCTTCTGATAGCTGGAGGAAAACAGCTTCCCCTTGGAAGCCAGGAGACCCCGTAAAAGCTTTCTAGATCATTCCAGCCTTCTTTTCCTCAACTCAACAAAAACGTGTCTCCATTCTAAGAATCAACTTCCTTCAACACTACTTGAAAATCCATTTTTTTCCACGTTCTGTTCAGCCCACCATCAGAAATCATTTCAACAACACAATGTACAGCGTGTAACTTGAGAAAGTTTGGATACCCTAAAACTGAATGTACGAGATTTTTCCACCGCAAGAGATTCCCAACAATTTCTCTTATTATATTTGGGGGCAGCAAAGTCTGTGTATGTATATATGCATCTCTTCTCCTGCTTGGACACAGGGTTGGACTACAAGGTCCCTTCCAACTCGGTTATTATCCTGCATTCTGTATCCTGCATTCACAACATCTTAAACCCTTCCATGCTGGTGGATCAAAGGAAGTTGGTAGATTGAAAATTCCTATCAAAACGGTAGCATTTACAGCCCATTTCTGAGCGCAAGCTCTTCCTACGGTTGTTATTTAAGATACTGATGTGGAAAGGGGATACCCGGCAACCTAATTCTCCCCCTATGCCTCCCTTCCCCACCGATTTACCCAAATCTTCCCGTTCCAACTTACCTAACATACAGGAAAACCATAAAATGGATTATCCACTTTAGGCTCCCGTACCAAACACTGTAGATGCGCACCACTTTGTTGGTTTCGAATTCGAACACGCTCCTCAGGCATGAACAGGCTGCCATCCTGGAAGGAAAAGAAGAAAGATCTGTCTTCTGCTTTTTTGTTCTGCCCAGAAATGTGCAACTTCTCAGCCCGGAGCCAGGAATAACAATTACAAACCACAACCCCACAAATCTTAAAGGCACAGCGGAGGAAACGAAAGGCTGGCAAGTCTTTCCAAAGAGCAATTCCTCTTCCCAAAATGACTGAGGCTCCCAGGCACAGTTTCTCCCCCCGCCCCCTCTCTATTCAGGGTTGTCAGGAGAGGGAGCCATTAAAAGCGTTTTATTTGTGGAAAAAGTGTCTTATTCATTAAAGGGGTTTGATTTGGAGCTGTAATTCCCGGGTTCATGGGAAGGAGAGGCGCTTTCCCTCGCATCTTGGTAGGAAATTAGCCGTACACCAGGGGTGTTGAAGCGTGGCAACTTTAAGACTTGTGGACTTCAACTCCCAGAATTCCCCAGCCAGAATTGTGTTCAACTCCCAGAATTCCCCAGCCAGGAATTCTGGGAGTTGAAGTCCACAGAGTTTAATTTGGCAAGCTTGGACCTCCCTCCTGTACAGTATGCCTATCTACCTACTGGTATCTCTAACTAGATATCTCTGCCTACCTACCTACAATTTCTCTTATTATATTTGGGGGCAGCAAAGTCTGTGTGTGTATATATGCATCTCTTCTCCTGCTTGGACACAGGGTTGGACTACAAGACCTCCAAGGTCCCTTCCAACTTGGTTATTATCCTGCATTCTGTATCCTGCATTCACATCTCTACCTACCTACTCTCTCTCTCTCTCTC